TGGTCCCGGGCACAGTTCTTTCTGGCAAAAGATCAGATAACATGTGCTCTAAAACCCTCATCATAAATCACACTGCTAGAGTATCAGGTGACTAAAGCTTCTAGCACACAATGGCATCAAGGCACCCATGGGTGTTATTAGGTTCCCATGCAAAAATTGATTCTTCCCTCCTGATGGTGGAAGAGTCCTAAGTAACAGAAAATCCCAGAACAGGACTCCGAAGAGACAGAGTGAGTAGTAGCCCTGCTGACTTGAAAGATCCCTCCCTCTATCCTAGTTCCCTTCCCAAACCAGTCTCTGACACAGCATCACCATTCAACCCAATGTGGACCACAGTCCTACTTTTTATAGGGCCTTGGCAGGCCTTGGGGAGCTCAAATACATCATAGTATCCACCAGGACAGTTGGCATGTAGCTCAAGGGGAGGAAGAAGAACTTGGCATCCCAGCCAACAGAGTACCGGCTTCGAGGGTGGCAGGCAGTCAGCGTGTGCTCTATGCAGTCCGTCACTGAAGACAGAGATGTTGAACTCCTCTTGAAACTCATTTCGACGTCTTTGAGATCTGTCAAGATGAGAAAGAATCCAAATGAACTTGCACATCCCTGGGGTTCCCATCAAGGCTTTAATTAGAAAGGGAAGTTTCTAAGACACACCCCACCCCACCCCCATCCTGTGACAATGTGCTAACCTTTACCCAAGAGCAGTTGTTCAACATAAAGTTAGCTCTGGGCCTCATCCTGAAAGGCATAAATGAACTTCTCTGCTAACACTTGGACCTTTTCTTGGGATTACCACTTTACTATATTGTGATTATAGGAATGAGACTGAACATCCACACTCTGGAAGAAAGGCAGAACTTGGGAGACAGGCCCAAACATGGATGGAGCAGACAAGGTTTGCTTCTTTCAGAAAAGTGTTTACTTCTCTCTACTTTCTCCACAACCCACTCACAGGAAACCAGGAACTCCTCGCCATAGGCCTTCTTGACCTCCGGGCAGACTTGATTCCACACTTCCAGGATGCTTCGTGAAAACGTATCATTGGAAGTCATGCCAGTCTTGAAAAAACCAGGCTCAATCACAGACACCTTCACCCCAAAGGAGGAGAGCTCTCTCCTGCAAGGCAGACACAGGAGAAAGGACTTCAGAGAAAAAAAACAAATAAATCCACTACAATTAAGGACTGAGGAACAGTTGGCTGCAGCAGCCAAAGGGAGAGGTGAAATTACCATGGAATTGCTTTGCATTGGGCTTGAATTATTTTTCAAATGATTTTACCTAATTATCTCATTAGCTCTAAATCTTACCTAACCTACACCTAGGTACTACTGATATGCTGCTACCTCCTCCTATTTTCCCCAAATTCAATAAGCACTGAGCCTTGCCCAGTTTATCTGTGTCCTCTGTTCATTCACTGTCCTCTTATACTCTAGAAAACCTTAAGTAGTCTCTCAGCTGACTCCTGCTCTGGTCTTCCAAGGGGTTCTCTCAGTCTTCAGACTTACCTCCCCAGACTCAGAGTCATTCTTGGCACAGCAACTTGTGAGTGTCTCCTAAGGCTACCCTGATTAATTCTCCTGCCTGGGCTTCCACTGCCAACAGCTCTTCTCAAATCCTCCTGTACTGACAGCCCCAGTTCCCTCAGCTAGACCTAGCCCTGTCATTTCTCCATAGAGGCCCTGTAACACAGGCAGGATACTCATCCTCAGCCTGGGCCTCTGCTGATGTGGGGTCCTGTGCCAGAAAACTTCCAAATTCCTCCTTTACTCAGCTGCCAGGCTAACAATTCCTCCTTCAATCCTCAATGCAGACACCAGTTTAGAAACCCCTCCTCAACCCAGAGGCTTCCAGTGCTAATTTGATCCAATCATTAAAAGAGAGGACAACAGTGCTTCAAGATCTCTCGGCCTGTTCTCAGCTCTGAGAGTTTTTAGGGTACTGTCTAAAGTTTGTTGTCCTGGGACATGTGGTACATTCACAGAAGTGCCTTGTATAGATCTGCTTAATGTAATCAGATAGCTGCCTCCACCTCCATTGTTTCCTGAGAGTGAATATCACAGTGGATGTGCACATGTGCTCAGGAGCCAAATTATCCAGGGCCCCTCTTCCACTAAGAACAATGAAAAATGTTTTCTAGAGATGGATCGCTTAAATTCAGAAAGGAGGGAAGACCACTCTAAAGTTTTGATTAAATGAATCCCAGATAAGAGGCTCCGGCAGGGGAACCCAGCAGGGAAACTGGGGCAGGGCCTCAGTTCCAGTTCCATACCTGAGGGAGTCTGAGAAGGCCTCTATACCATACTTGGAGATGCTGTAGCCTCCGCCACATAGCGACACCCGGCCAGCGATGCTGGAGATATTGACCACGCGGCCCTTTGCCTTCCTCACTAGGGGCAGTAGGTTCAGAGTCACCTCGATCACTCCAAGTAGGTTCACATTCAGTATCTTCGCAAAGTCCTGTTTGGTCAGCCACTCATTGGGTGCTGTGGGCACTGAGATGCCAGCGTTATTCACCAGGCCCCAGAGACCTGGGGACAGTGGGAAGTAAAGAGAGGTCCTGAAGTAGGTTTTACTTTAGACACAGTTATAATCCATAGTCACATTCAAACTTGTTGATTGAGTCAACCAACATGTGCTGTAAGAGAAAGGTGTAAAATTGAAATAAAGACCTGGGGTCTGCAGGCTGTCAAAGCCCTTCCTTATCTTTCTACTCCCAGTATTTGGCACCCTCCAACCATGAAATAAAGGAGCTCTGGTAGCGTCGTGGTTACGAATTGGGCTGCAAAACGCAAGGTCAGCAGTTCGAAACTACCAGCTATTCCGCGGGAGAAAGATGAGGCTTTCTGTTCCCGTAAAGATTTATAGCCTCAGAAACCCTGTACAGGGTCACTATGAGTCGGAACCAACTCCACAGCACTTAACAACAACAACAACCACCATTAAATGGGCTTTTTTTTTTTAATGTATGAACAGTATTTGAGAAAATATGGCAAGTGCTCAACAAATATTTCTTGGGGAAAGAGACAGAGACAGGAAGAGAGAGCTGGGTTGGGAGGCAGTAGGAAGAGGAATGAAGTACAGAGAAATGTTTTGAAAGGGAGGGAAAGAAGAGAAATGAGAAAAAGTAAGATAAGCACTGACTGCGAACCACAAGGTCAGAGATTCCAGTCCACCAACTGCTCTGCAGGCGACGGATGAGACTGCGTCTGAAGCCACTCTGCGGCACTTAACAGCAGATATATTATATTCCACACCCTAGTTGCTAAAGACCCTCTTGGGAAACTAGCCTGCATTTAACAAGAGGGACTCTCCTTAAAAGCGCCTTCTCCAATTTTCAGACAATATCTACTCCGGAGCAAAATTCACTCTCTGACCTAAGAAATGCCAACCCTCATCCAGGTACAAATGCCCAAAACAGGACTGGGGCTAAGGTGAAACTGCCCCACATTCCACCTCAGTGAGCAGACTCCAGTTTTTGATCCAAAAAAAGGCAGGTACCCCTCATACACTCTTCCTACATCCCCTGTTATCCAGCACACCCAGCTTTGGGGAAAGTTCCCTGGAAGATATAAGGCAAAAGAGCACACCATCCATGATCTGAAGCAGTCAGAGTTACCATGCCACAGAGGTTAAGGTCTGCAGAGACAAGATTTCAGATGAGTTCAGGTTAAGGGGAATTTGCATCTGAAGCTATGGAGAAGAGAACAAGGCCCTGCAAGAAAAGTCCCTCTCCTGCCCAGAAGCTTTCCCTTAAAGAAAGTTGTTGTTGTTAAGTGCTGTCGAGTCGATTCCAACCCATAGCAACCCTATACACGGTTTCCGAGGAGCAATTAGTGAGCTTGCAGTTCAAATGGCTTTGCAGTCTGGCTCATTAGCCCACAGCGCCACACCAGGACTCCTTAAAGGAAGTATGCAATCTTTAATTATTATTGTTAAGTGCCATCAAGTTGATTCTGATTCATATACAACCTTGTATAGGGTTTCCAGGAGCAGCTGGTACATTTGAACTGCTAACCTTGCAGTTAGCAGTACAGTGTTTATCCTACAGCGCTATACTGAATTTTTATAGTCTTTAATACAACACCACTGTATTCCTTAAACAATATTGATAAGAACACAAAGTAGCCAATATCCACAAAATTGTTTCCAGAACTGCTATTTATTCCAATAAAACTGGGAAACACTTGCAGCATCCAATAATCCTTGATCTTTCCACTCCATCTTTCCAGGAACTTTCTGAAACCCCCTTGTATAAGACGACTTAAGTAAATTATCATGCTGAAGTATGACATTGAAGGTAATGTTTAGGAAGGATTTAATGATGAAGATGTTGACCACAGGATACTAATGTAAAGAGTAATTCATTCTGGTGGTTTGTTTAGAATGAATGCTGTTCTCTGCTTATTTGCTTTCTTTTCTACAATGTGAAAGAAAGTTTTATACTTTACCAGAAGAAACATAATAATCTAGTTGTTATTTTTACTTAAAGCCTTTTCAACTCTCCATGGCTTAAGCCGCTTAAAGTCAAGTGTGAGAGAGAGAATGTCCTTGAGAGACAAGAGTAAGAAGCACAAATTTTAAATATGTTTACTTGATAAGACTTAAGCAGGATCAAACCTGACCCAGGCCTCCATTGCCCCAGGCCAACCCTCAAAGTTGACTGCCAGACCTCACCCCTCTTCTGAGGAGTCAACCATAAATAAGTGCTAGACTCATCTAACCCGAGTAATTAGCACAATCTCTTCAGAAGTTCTGCCTCAAAACTCAATAACTTCTGTTCAGGAAACTCCAAAACTAAAGGCCAGGAAAATCAAAACATGTTGGAACTCTTCCCAGGTAGCAAGAAAAAAGTTCTGTCTTCACATAGAGAAGAAGAAAACACACAAATAGAAAAGTGGATGGTACCTCTGTTCCCCACGTGCTCTTTCACCCACTGGGTGGCTGCTGTGATGCTTTCTGTCTGGGTGACATCCAGGATCACCGTCTCCAGCCTACCTGATGTCTGGTCCCTCAGCCGCTCAGCCTGCAGCTCTGACCTACATGAAGCCAACACCCTGAAGCCTCGCTGGTCCAACTGCCTGGCCAGCAGATTCCCGAAACCTGAACTACAGCCTGTGATGAAGACATACTTGTCTTGGAGGTTGCTCACCACCTGCCTCTCCCGGTACCAGCGCAGAAGGTAATACAGTCCCACAAGGCCCACCAGGTAGAGCCACATGGTTTTCTCAGAGATTATTCTTCAGTTGGGCTGGAATTCTAGCCGCTACTTCATCTGCAGCACCATGTGCTGCCCTCCCAACTTTCTGTGGTGGAGTCTTAGTACTTTTCCTGTTTATATCCGTTCTTGAATATTTTTGACTTCAGTCCAACGACTTTGCTTTTTTACTTTTTGTGATTGCTCTGATAGATACCATTGATGTTCCCAAGTCCCAGTTTTCCAAGCCACCACCTATATCCTTCTCCATGTTCTAGTGTTCAGACTTGTCCACACTGGAGTTCTTCTAGTCTAGATATTATGTTCTAGTTATGATTAAGACTCATTCCTAACTCTATCTATAAGGATTTGCCAAAGATTTTAACTGGTTCTGCCCACTTCAGTCATAGTCAAGGAAATATCATGAGAAGAGACCCAATTTTTTAAAGCTATGATGATCCAGAAGTTAGACAGAAAGGGACAAAGTATGGGTCAAAGCCTTGCTAGAATCTTAATCTAACTCTTCCAGAAGAAAGACAGTATGCATGTTGCATAGTAACCAAATTTCCTGCCCTAGAATTTTGCGCACACTTGCAAGTCTGACTGCTCCACTCAAAGATAGTGGTCTCCCACTTAAACATGGCCACCATCCTCACTGCTTTGATTGTATGTCCCTCTCCTATAATCTTGCCAATAATTCAGTCACCTGTAAGGAGCCTCTTCACATTCCAGAATTTTGACCCATAATTTTTGTTCTGGGTATCTTGCTGAATCTGTGGTATTTTAACTTTAGGTCTATTCCTCTTTTACTTCTCCGGCCAGAACAGGACCACTTTAATGGACAAGTAGGAGTTGTCCATAAATCAGGCATTTAGAACTATAGACTGCCTATAGTTCAAAACTTATCTTGTCCTTCACTCAGCAAATGACTAGATCAGCAGTTTACAAGGTATGATATTGCAGTATATAGTTCAAAAGATTAAAATTCTTTGAAAACCTATATCCTCTTTCTATAAGATGGATGTTAAACTAAGGTGTTTGATATCTTCTGCCAAATACTTCTGTTGGATATCTTTTATCCAGCTTTCATGGATGCTGTCAGAGGGATTTTCAATCTGATTCAAGCTAATCAATGAACAGAAGTTGAAGTGGCCAATGAAGATATTTGGAAGTGTTCAAAACCTTAAGCAGAATTGATGCCATCATTATTATTATTCCCACACAATTCCCTGTCCTCTCAAATTTCCCACGTTTTCCAGTCTATTTCATTCCAAATCCTGTCTTTCTTGGTTCCCCAAAATCCTCAATCTCCTGGCTCTTCTGCTGGTCTACAAGAAAGAGATCTACATTGGGGTGAGGGTTACTGTGTTTAAGCTCAGATACTTCAAAACCAGGATGGTTGAAAAAGAGGCATTATCATAGTGGCTCTAGAAAGTATAAGACTAAGCCAGTCTTGTAGACAAGGAGACCTATGGTAAGGAGTTCTAGGAAGCCTGTAAGTCAGTAGGGAGAGAAGGAAACTATAGCCCTTGAGGGCTCAGAGCCACCATGAGCTTCTCCAACAGTCCTGGGGTCCATTTCTCCAGACTTTTCCAACATTAAAAGGTGGGGGAGATTTACTCTCATGTTTACACACCCATGTGACCTGGAGGGAGTAAATAACTGGGGTAGATTTTAAAAAGGGTCCAGTCTGGCTAGACCTGCAGAGTGAGATACCCAAATCTCCAGTTTGTATCAAGTAAGGAAATGAAAACCAGACAGGAGTGACACTCAGCTCTAGAAACATATAGTGAGGTGTTGAGGAAGGCAGCTTACCTAGATTTTGAATGTTGATGGGACCTTTCAAATTATTCAGTGTAGAGGCATTTCTGGGATTGGGCTGGCATTTCTGGGATTGGGCTGGCTTATTATGGGTCACAGTTGTTCCTGGAAAGGGATGGGGAATCCCCTTAGACAATCTGAACAAGTATACATAGGATCATGTCTAGGGGACATCAAAATTACTTTTTTAAAAATTACTTTGGGAGAACAAACAATATGGCAGATTGGGTGGAAGTGCAGTCAGGAGCTCCATCAGCAACAACACAGAATACAGGACCAAGCAGGCTCAGGGGATGGTCCCAGAACTTTGAACCACATATAAAGGAATATTTAGAAGGTCTAAAGGCTTACAGCTAGGGGACTTTGTAGCAGAAGCAGGAAATCCATTGTTTTCTAATTCAAGACGCTCAGCTGCTCCAGGAGCCGCCATCTTGGGTGAGACCACGTGAGGGAAGGTTCAGAACAGCCATGGACACCCAGCAGAACCATGGAGATAAAGGTGTGGACATTCTTTTCTTTTGGTATCTGTTCATTGGTCCCTTGCTGTCTGCGCACCTCCATTCTGGTG